TGTCATTTATTTATTGTCATGCTATTTTTTATATTCTGTTATTGTACTATGTGAACAAGACTAACAATAGACAAGAGGAGTGCTGCTTAAATACTCCGAAAAAGTTTGTAAGATTTTTCTGAAATTGGCTAAGTTACAGAAAACAGGGGCTGCTTTTTTTTTCCTTGATGACACAAGTCCCTGCAGCTAATAATTTTAATATTCTGAATATAGCTGCTTTCATTTCTTAATACTTTTGTACCCACTTGCATTCCTGTTCACAGGGGTGGAATTGTTCCACTACGTACTGAATAGCTGTGTGGATGAAATGAGGAACCGAGGAAGAAAAATAATAGAATTGTCTGTAGAAAAGAAGAAAAGCTAAAATCAGGTGGCAGAGTAAAATAATAAGAGATAGGGGGGCATGTTAAGATTGGATGAGAAAAGGTGGGTTAGTAATTTGCTAAATGGGGGAGGGAACAGTGGTTTTAATGGTTATACTCAGAACTAGCAGGAAGTCATGAGTAAAGCAAACACATGCTTACTGACTTGAACATTAAATAGAGCGATGCTTACAAAGAGGAGCAGGGATATTCAAGGGTCCATGCTGCACTTTCCTAGCTGAAAAGAGTGAGGTTTCAAATCCTGTGTGTTGAAACTGTTCAGCCCGAACCATATTCCTTTCCTTTTCAGGCCTCAAGGGCAAGATGTTAATGTTGACCTAAGTAACTGTGAAGAGAGGGCAGGAGTAAAGCTAGTAGTACTTCAGTATGTTGTGCTTAACCCTGTATTAAAACAGAGACTTAAAAAAAAAAAAAAAGTTTAGGGAAGTGTGAGCTTTCCAGGGATTATGTAATTGTACCTAGTTCAACTTCTGATTTTAAAATACTGTGTAGGTTGTTGCATTATTAATCAGTGGCTTCCCTGCACCACTTTATTAGTTGGTTTGTTAGTTTTGCCATATTTTCTAACAATCTTAAAATAGTGCTTAATTAGTTTTGTTTTTACTAAAGGCTCTTCTTAGTAGGACATTACTGAGACTGACAAATGAAGTGTTTCGTTTTGCTTTGGTCACTTGAAGGCAGCAGTGGAATTGAGTTTGTTTTATGTGGTGCAACTTGCACTTCTGGGACTCCTTGGGAAAAAAGAAAGAAAAAAAAAAAAGGGAATTGAGTCGTAAGTAATTGGAGGTCTTTATTTGTAGCAGTAGTTTTTATATGTGTGTGCTTGTTATATGTGAATTGGAACATCTGAAGTATGGCTAGCATTTCTCCATTTCATTAAGAGAAACCATGGAGCAGTGAGAGAGTAAAGTTTGATCTCGGCTTGGAAAATGGCTTACTCTGAAGCTCTGCAGTGTCAGCAGCCGCCATCCCCAGAGAAGTTTGGGTTTTGTTGAGAACTGACAGCCTTTCCTCCTCAGAGAGGCATTCCTAAACCCCAGGGAATCCCCTCCCGTAAAGTTCTGGAGTAAGCAGCATGGAGGAATAATAAGCACTTCCTTCCTTTCTATTTTCAGTCACTGAGCTAGAAAGTATCCACTACTGCTGTAGCTGGTGCTCACAAAACCCTGTGCAGCATGGTCCTCTTTTCCTCACCCTCCTCCCCGAGTCTTCAGTTCTTCTGCAAGGGGAGGTTGTGCAGCAAGTTTCAAGCTGAAAAACAATTTAAAAACCTGTCACCAGGAATGTGGCGTACTGACTTCATTATTCAGTTTCACATTTAATGTAAAATTCAGTATTAAGTTATCCACAGCGTTTTCACATGCTCCCAGATCAGGCTTGCTTCCCCCGCCCCCAGCCCTTACAGAGTGTTTATTTAGCCAGGAAGGCATGGAGAGCAGCTTGATGTTTTGGATCCTGAGAGGCATTTTGGAGTTGTTGGAAGCATCTCACTCCTTCCTCTAGTTTCATGTAAACAGCTTCGCTGGCTGTTGCAGGAGGGAGGAGAACCTTTCGACTGTGGGAATGGTGGCCAGCGAACAGGAGCGGTGTGTTGGATGTAAAATCCTTTTGGTGGCCAGAGCCGGAGACATTTTGTCAAGTGGCCTGAGTGGTGATAAAGTAACAAAACCTTTCAAAGAACTGCAAATGTTTGTCGCAAGGATCTGTACTCCTCTGTGTGTGTACTTTCAAGAGAGGTACTTTGCTAACAAATCTGAATTTTCAAATGATGATACGAAAACTGTAATTTTAGTCAAACTGAATAACTTTTTCCAGTCTCCTCCCCAGTTACTTCATTACAAGCTTTCCATTTGTATCTTTCTTAAGTTTTGTTAAAAAACCTAGCATTCAGCTTTTTAAAAAAGTTACAATATATGATCTGAATTCAGAAATATTCCTCCTGAAGGTTATTGATACTTAGGAAGGAAAAATTCATGCCTGATGGGCTTAGTTAAACTTCTCTTTGGGAGAGGTTTGAATGAGACTTTCTTCAGTCTCTGACTCAAATTGCAGTTTTAAAAAGAATTCAACATCAGTCATGAAATAAATTCTGATAAGCTCACTTTAACATCAGTGTTTTGCATATTGCTTAGTAAAATCATGGTGGAATGAAGATTGTTCTGACTCCTGATGGCAGGTTTCTTTCTGCTTTTGGCTTGAGGCTACATGTGAAATAGGCAGGTATGTTACATAGGACAGTAATCTTATTTATTGCTGTTTTGCATTTATAAAACTGCAAGTCAACACATGAAAAGGTAGTGACTTTCATTTTAAAATCAGACCTTCTTTTGTAATGCCAATGGTAAAGTAAACTCAAACATTCCTAGTGTGAGTTTTAATTTAAGCTATTCCAAGGTGCCCTGTTGTAGAAAGAAGAGCAGCATTCCCCAAAACATGCAACTTTGTTTCTGTCAGATGGACTTTATAACTTTCACAGCTTTCTAGCTGCAATTAGCATATTCTGTCATTGCAAATGGGTTTACTGCATTATTATAATTTCTGGGGTAGCATTAAAATGTATACACAGGACATGTGAGAAGGAGCTGCAAGATTATTTTCAACTGATTCCACATACGGCATGTGAAAGCTCCCTTCAAGTGATCTGCCTAATTCAAATGAAGGATGAGATAATGCTGAAAAAGACCAGGAACCTACACATTGGCTGTCTTCCATTCCTACAGTATGCATCTAAGTTGACCATAAATTGTTTTGTATAGTTAAATTGGCTAAGTAGGTTCTTGCAATGTGGTGCCATTATGAGGCATTCAATTGTTTTAGGATTTGGCAGAAACCCAGTTTACATATGTGCAGAGAAGCAAAAAATATCAGCTCCAGAATGTGTGTGTTTCATCTGTAGCCTGAAAGGAAAGTCACTGTATAGTTTGGGGGAAGAAAAAGCTTGTCTGTTTAAATTAAGTATGTGCTGTTTTACGGAACTATTACCTACAAGATCTGTACATGCTTGAGAGCTACTGAGCTGCATGAGCAGATAAGATCTTTGCCACCAAGCCGCAGAAGGTACTTGTGGACGTTGGTAGTTGGGCATAGGAGGAAGCGACGGTTGTGCCTCAGGGGTCAGTCACGGTTCGGTTTTAGGTACTTTCTAGAAAAGGGAAGCTACAAAAAGAAGCCTGCAAGAAAGCTTCAGGGAGCAAAGAGGAAAAATGGCTTTCTCTCTTACTCCCCCAGTGATCACAGTAGAGAGCATGAGGAAAAGCAAGAATAACAAAATTTGGCAGAACAGTCTGTGCATTATATCTAGTTGAAGTCATTGTTTCCTATTTAAAAACACTGATATTTGTGTGTATTTTTTTCCCAAGTTCCTATACATCCTATGGAGTAGAACTGCCCATTCCCTGAAGACATGCAGGGGGAGGGTCCGTTGTATACAGGCCTGTTACGTATCTACTTCTTTTGTGGTCAAATGTAATTTATGATTGTAGTAATCATTTTCTTTCCTTCCACTTTGCATTAAGTTCTGAAGAATTTTGCTCACACTAAAAGGAAAGCTAAAAATATCAAAGCAAGACCTTTAAACAAGGATAAAAGAGTAAATATTAGTATATCCTGCTCTCTGAACAGGTTTGGAAAGCAGAATTCATTTTCAGTCAGGTACTGAGAGCAAGTACTGCTATCAATGAAACTATTCTTTCCTGCATTGTCACAAAATGGTATACATGACCAGAGGATTTTCATCTTAAAGAGCTACTACAGGAAAAGTTTCAGAACTGAATAAAGCACAAGGGAAGGGTTTGGAGTGACGTAACAGCAGTTTTTGTGAAAGGTCATAATATAAGTTACATACTAACATGCAAGCATAGTAATATTTGCATTGCATTTTTTCAGATATGGTTGACTAGTGTGTTGACAGCATCCATGTTAAACACCTGAAAAAAATCTCCTTAGGCTTATTAGACATTGCAAATCTGACCTGACTAACCATAACTAAATTGTATTTTCTATCAGTGTCCAGCCTTGCTCCCCAAAGATTCCCTTGTCCCAAAATTTAATTAGAGGGATTTGAATCTGCCATTGGAAAATGGATACTGCTGAGGAATCTGATTCTTCCTAACAGACTGGTTAGTGCCATGGTGAACACTGATGATATCAAGGCAGTAACCAAGTTCCTAAGACATTCAGGAACAGATTATTTGAAGGTAGAAGCTTGCTGTGGCTGCACAAAAGTAGCAGCTTTCGGGCTAGGAAAGCTTATTTTAAGTTACTCCTTGTTTTTTATGGTAGTTGAGCTTTGGCTTAGGAAGACATGTTCACAGACATAATAAGAAAAATGCACAGTATAATTTAGGCTTTGCTTGCTTTTTTTCTGGGAATAGTTCAGAAGAATATTTAGGTGTGCTGTGGCCTCCTGCAAGCCTCCCTCTTTTGCTGCTGGCAGGAATCAGTCGACTTTAAATCCAGATCTCCGTGTCTGAAGGACCACAGCATTTGTCTATCCATTTTTCCCCTGACCCTCAGTGAAATGCAGTATGCTGTGGAATCTGATTCGTATTTCAAGATTTCTGTCCTTTTCAGTTGGATCCCTCTGTAGAGGTTTCCTCTTTTCTTTTTTTTCTGCAGGGAATCTGGCGCATCCCCGTGGATGAGATCGACCGCCCCGGCAGTTTTGCATCTCATATGAACCGCTCTATTGTCTTACTGCTCAATGTGCTGTCACAGCTAAAGGATTACAACACCTTGCTGAAAGTCTCATCTATGCTACAGAGAACCCCTGATCAGGGAAAGTATGATATATTTATTTTAATCTGTTACTTTGTAAAGCTTTGAGTATATTTTGTTCAATTTGTAACTATTTTATTTAAAGATGTTCTTAGTTTAGGAAAAAAAAAAAGTGGTTAGACCGATTTCCTCAGGAATATAGTGGAATGATGGGTAATTTTTCTCAGGATTACAATTCCGTAATAGAGTCTAGAATTTCTCTGAATTTCTCTCGAAACTCAGAGCAGCCATACAGCTGCCTTAACAGACTTGCAGAGGTTTTCTGTCGTGTGGAGGGATTCACTGGTGGAACAGAGCATCGTGACTTCTGCACCCCTCTGCTGGCCTCTTGCATAAGAGCTGTGTCCAGTGAGGGAGGTCACAGCCCAGGCATCCTGCCTTCCTGTAATCCTTGACAGACTGAACAATGGTTATGTGCTTGTTGGCAGCTGATGCTATTTAAAAAGCTTATCCTATTCAGGGGTGATCTAATTTTAATTGCATTAACCTTATTTAAGAAAAAAGAAGCCATTTAATGTGAGCTATATACAGATTTGTATCAATGTGAAGACCAAAATAAACATCTAAGGAAAATATTGAAGCAATTGAGGTAAAATTCTAGTAGCTTGCCGAGTGGGAAATGTTGAAATTAGTCTCTGGCAGATGCTTAAGAAATCGAACTGAATGATTGATGGCAATAAGTTGGAGGCAATGAAGGTTTCTTCATGTGTTTTTGAGTGTGAGTGCATGTGAATTTGCATAGATTGTCGTATGTCTGGGAATATGTCACCACATGTCCAGCAAGCTTGAAGCCAAAAATACTTTGACTTTTAGCATATCAGAAGTACTGGACCATAGAAGGTTTAAATTCTGTCCTAAGCAAGCCCACAGTTGTACTAAAAATATTATGTTATTTATAAGTCTAGACTGAATTTAACAAACAAGTAATTGGACATGTTGGATCAGCCAGTGCCAGCTATGGTGAACTATAATCGTTACAGGAACTTATAAATGCAAATATGCTGGGTGTGTCTGGTATATGCCTGTAACTACCCTATTTTTAAAAATAGGGTGTTTTTAGCTGAACTTTAGTTATTACTGAAGTAATGAGGAGCCAGTTTTTTGTATCTTTTTGCTGAAAAGCAAACCATAAATTTACCAATTTAATGTAATACTGTAGAGAGAAAATAGGCGTTTTAAAAGTGTTGGCTTTTTGACTGAAATAGTACCCTTCAAAGTTATTTACTTGATTTTTAGCCCTCATTAAAACCAACCAATTCTGAAATAGAAATTCAGTTTTCCATCAAACTCAGGTGGGATTGATGGCTGGAAAGTTTTCCTTGAAAGTGAACTAAAGCATTGTGTCAGAATACACAGAAGTTACAGTGCTGTAGAAAATTAAATGAAGCTATAGAATGAATAAGTTTTACATGCACAATATTAGCTTTTTACAATGCTAAATAGGAATAAAGGTATTACCACACCAGTGTTTTAGCTCTAAAAAAACCTCGATTCAAAGACAACTGATATGACCAACGAGAAAGGATTTGCTCATGTCCTTAATCTCCCATGCACGGTTTATCCAGAACATGAAAATCACCTGACAGTTCAAGATAGCTTCATGTGACTAATACTCTTTTTCAAGAAAAGGTTTGAACAAAAAGCTGGTATTTGAGGGGCACAGAAGACTTGCTACAAGAAAACTGTAATTCTGGTTGTCTGTTTTGCTCTCGGTTTGATTGGTTGGTTTGTTATTGTTTTGGGTTTGGGTTTGGGGTTTTTTTTTCCCCTCCCCTCTGTTTGTAGATAGTGCTCTTTTGCTTCATGCACGTCATCTTTGATGATTGTGGGGAGGGGAGGAGGGGAGGGAAGCATAGCTAAAGTGTTATATTTCAATATACAACTGTATATGTTTTGTTTGCTTTCTTCTAACTTGTTTTAAAATTGTTGTGTTGGGGGGTTGGTGTTGTGTTGTGTTTTGTTTTGTTTTTTTAATGTCCTGGTTCTTGCTTTTAAAGTCCTATAAGATTATGGCAGTTAGTTTAATTTCTGTTCTCTTACTGTGGCACAGGAAGTACTTGCGTGATGCAGATCGCCAAGTTCTGGCCCAACAAGCCTTTGTGCTTACAGTGAAAGTGTTGGAGGACACTCTCAACGATCTGACGCAGGTAAGGCAGCAGTGTGTTTAATGGTCATTGATTTAGTAATTAGATTTTTCTAGGTTCAGTTTACTCATTCCTTAGATCTCCTGAGGCTGAAGGGCTACATTACTATCACTTATTTCTAATACCTTTTGTTTATATGCAACCACACAGAAAACCTTCTTCCAGCATTGTTGTTTTTCATTTTTGAAATCCAGTAACAAATACAGTTGTTGAGAATGGATTGCAGTAAGTTTGGTTTGACTGTCCCTGCAATTTCAAATCAGGGTAGTTACATGGAGTATAAGAACAGCTACATTTTCAGGTGGGGTCTACTGGAAATTTCATTTTAAAATGAACTAAGATTCCTCTTGCAAAACAAAACCAGACACTAGATATGACATGCCTAGCCATTTTTAACTGCTAGACCTTGACAGCACCACACCTATTATTACATTTAATTATAATCTAGATTTAATTTTAAAAAGTCATATAGAGACCAATCAGTTTCCAGGTTAAGATGACTGGAAATTGGAAGTTTATTTGGCAAACACATTCAAGGAAGAGCTTGTTCCTAAGGGTTTTCCAAGTTAACAGAGTATAGGTTTAGCAGATTAAGTGAAAACATCCTTAAGAACACTGGAACTCTGTGTATGAAATACTTCGTTCATAAATCTGGATGGAAGAATTGTATCACTAGCAATTTTTGAAAGAAGAGATGTTGTACTAAGGTTTTCTACCTTTGGACCATCACCAAAGTAAAGGTCCAAAAATTAAAATACTATAGCAGAGTTTAGCATACTTCTTGATCTACTAACAAGAAGAAAGTTATGTAAGAGCAACCAAAAGGAAGATTCTTAAATTTGAGGTTGATCTGCAGCTGCCAAAAGAAACAGGTTCAGTTTTTACTGCAGTACGTTAGAAGAAAATTTTGTGCTATTAAAACCTTGGATTTCATTTAGTTGGATCCCACAGTATAGGCTGAAGTAGTGGCGGGGTGGGGAAACATTGCAGCTTTGGTTCAGCCTATGCTGTTGATTTTCTTCAGCAGAGACAGCAATGTAAAGGTACTCATGGTCCATTCATGGTAGTCATACCTGTGCTCAAATGCTTTCTGATTTCAATAATAACAGAGAAGAATGACTTCTTTTATTAAGGTTTCAGAAGATCAGAATTCCAAGTCTTCTAACCTTGCTTCTGGAAGGATGACAACAGACGTCTCTAATAAAGCTAGTGCTGAAGAGGGAAAAGATGTCCTTCCCAAAAAACCAGTTTTATCAGATGGAGTAGTACATAGTACTGAAAATGGAGTAAAGGAAGTGACCCAGGGACAAATTCCCAATGCTATGGACATATTGGAACAAGATGACAAGAATGACAAGGAAATTAAAGAGCTCCCTGGGCCTGGTTCAATTGAGCCTATGGATCTTGATGGATATTCCAATGACCCTGAAAAAATTGATTCTTCATGTAAACGCAGTGAGCCAGACCGTCTTCAGTCTGGCAGGAACTCAAAGGAGAGAGCTCCAGAGAGCCGGACTCCAGAACTTTCTTTGGAAGAGCTAAGTATCAGCTCAAAACATCAGTATCAGGCAGCTAAAGGAATAGTTCAGGCAGTACCTACAGAAGAACCTGTCCAGAGATCAAGCAGGAAGAGGAAATTACTTGAGGATGTGGAGTCTGGGAAAACACTTCTGCTTGATGCTTATCGAGTATGGCAGCAAGGTCAGAAAGTTATGGCCTATGACCTGGGTAAAATTGAGAAGATCATGTCTGAAACATACATGCTGATTAAACAGGTGAAGTATTTTATCATTAATTGTAATTTCTCTGTGTGATGTCAGACGTGATTATAGAATAACAATAATTGCCAAACAAAGCAGTATAAAATTGGCCCTATATCTGTTCAAAAGTTGGAGAGAGATAAATACCTCTGAAGAACCACTCTCTTGACAAGACTGTTGCAGGGGGAGGGGGGAAAGTAGGACCCTCCATGTTTTGGAACTAAATATCTGAAATCAGTTAAGAGCTATAATACCAATTATATGGGGTTTGATCATGCTAAATGTTAGTTTGAATTAAGAGGGAGTTGTGTATCTTTGAATAAATACTCATGAATAACTTAAGATCACTGTTCAGCCATAGAAGTGCTGCTTCTCCCCCTTACTCCCATGCTCTACATCCCCATTTCATCTGAATTTAATTAGATTTATAGATGAGCTAAGTAATTACAGCTTCATTAGTTGTGATTCTCTGTTCAGGTGGATGAAGAAGCAGCACTTGAACAGGCAGTCAAGTTTTGCCAGGTGCATATGGGGGCATCAGCACAGAAACAGGTAAGCACTGTGAAGTCCCTGGCTGCTTGTAACAAGCTTTTATTACTTAGTCTGCACGATCATGTCTGTTGCTGAGTGTTTGCAGCAATTAGAAATATCTACTTCCCTTGTATAGTTGTCATCTATGATAAGTTGGGCCACATTAGTGTAGGGAGCTCATCCCTTTTGTTAGGGTCATTGCTGCCATTTTTGTCAGGCTTGAAGGATATTTTGCATGCCCAAAAGCTTTTGGGGAAACCCCAAACAATTTTCAAATTGAAATATTTATGGCTCACTACCATTTTCTTAAGTGTCCACATCTTTCCTCAGCATTTCATGGATGGTAATTACTAATCTCTGATCCCTAAGGGCTAAAAAACTCATCAGCTCTTCCCTTGCTAATATTGCACTCTGCTCCAGAGATACCTAATATCTTTCCTCTCAACTTGCGTGGTCGAGAATCTGATTTTAACTCTGTTACATTACTCAGTTTGGTTTTTAGCTTGTAGTTTCTGGGTTTATCCAGCAAACAGTTATAGAGCTTTAAAGGGATGGTTATTTATCAGTCCTTAATGTGAAATCAAAGCCAAGAAGAAAACTGGATGAATGACATGTTTAGTGGTCATTCATTTTGCCAGCAAACCATCAGCTGAAAGCCCCGAAGTATTTTGTAGTTTTGTACTTCCCGTAATTTTTGCCACCAGCACACAATGAAGCAGTTGTTCAGCAGATTTTGACTAGAAGATAAAGCACGTTTAGAAGAAAAATCTATGTTCCTAGTTAATAGTCTGTGTTTTAATACTGCTTGGGGCTTTGTGCATGTTTTACGCTATGAAAACGTAGTATGTGTTATCGATTGCTAGCTCTCAAAAAATAATTAATATTTGTCTAAAAACATTTCAAAAAAATCTGTTGGAGTGCAACTTAGAAACCTTTTGTTGTCTTTGAGTGTTTCAGAAGTGGTGATCTGTATCATGCTTAAGTGTAAACCAGGAACCATCTCTAAGGTTTTCTGTACAAGAAAAGTAGATAACTATATGAATTTGTTGAATCATGTTCAGTACTAATTTAAAGTAGAGCTCTTTCAGAAGTGTCTTGAACACATTTGTTTTATGAGCTGCAAAAATTTATTCTGGTTTTCTGTGGTTTGTCTTTTCTGTCCCTCAAGTATCTCTTCTGCTATTATTTAATCTTCTATCATCTATAACTTCATCTTCCTGTCATGTGTCTTACCCAGTAGAAGTGTGCAAGGAGAAGTACATGCTATTGACTAGTCTAGAGATACCCACTCACTGCATTCCAACTTGACAGTTACCAGAAGAAAAGTATTATGGTTGCAGGGATGGGGAGAATTGCCTGCTTCTCCATCACTTGATTCTTTCCCTCTGCCTAGGCACTAATTTTCATTAAAATGGAAGGACAGTAAAAGTCTTTCAGAATTTCTTTTCATCCTCCATAGTTGGATGAGGCTTTTCTACTGTAAAATAAACCCATCTGCTTTGCAAAAACATAAGCTTTTGAGGAGGTACATCTCTGATGTTAGCAAGTTAAGTATTGTCTTAGGTATTCAAATCCTTTTCACATTATTTCACCTGTTTTTTCAAAATAAATGCATTTTTTTAAACCTCCAGATAGTTCTTCTAGCTCCTGAAGCAAATCCCCTGTCTATCACCAGAACACTGCCTCTGTTCTTCAGATCTTTTCAATGTAACCTCAGATAATGCACATTGCCTGGTCCTTCCTACAATGTGTTGTACGTACATGACAAACGCTTCTCAGAACTAAAGTGCAACTGTGTTAGAGGTGCTGGTTAATAGGTAGAAGAACTTAGAAGGTGAACCTTCTGTATTATATAGAGTTAAGAGGCCAGCCTTTTAGGTTTTTCCACCTAGTGGAGCTGAAGAAAATTGAGGCTGTAGGTCAACTCCTGTAACAACGTTTAGTGCTGTCTACTCTGCAACTTTAGGAAAAGCAGATATTTCTGTGTCTTTTGTGAAAGGTTCCAGATTTTTTGTTGTTGTTGTTTCCATTTAAGATATGTGCCTTTCAGTGGAGCTTGAATCTTGTGTTTTCATGCACTATTCTCTTGAATCTATGGGTACTTGTTCTCCTCATCTCATTTTGATGAATATTGTTTTACTGGTGATTATTGCCTTGACCAGGAGGGTAGAGGAGGTTCAAACCCTCAGGGCAGACTCCGTTACACAGCATTTATTCTAGACAAGATTACCTTCACACTACATTTCTTCCTGAAATGGTGTTAATTTTAGTTGTCAGGAGGCATGCCAACCTGTGTTTTTCCCCGTGCTGTGTAGAAAGTATGAGTCTTGAGTAGCCATAAAAATTTCCAGTTGTTAATACTGAGATAAAAATTATCTAACAGTGTGTTTAGTTAAAATGTGCATTTGTACAGTGCATCTTAGCAGAGTAACAGGAGAGGATGTAAGAGTAAAGGGAGTTTATTAGATTTTCTTGGAGGTAACTTTTTTTCCAATTTGTGCCCCTCAGGAAGTCAGTAACTTTTTTCCATTGAACTATAGAAATGAACAGCAAAGTTGACAGGTATTCTCATAGAAGTGTTTCTTTGTTCCTAGTCTGGTATTTAAGATTTTAATTTTTTTTTTAATAAAGAAATCTGGGCTCAGCATGTTAAGGCTTTTTTAGTTTATCTTAGGGAAAAAATAGGCGGCATCACACTGATTTATGACTTCAAAATAAAAAGAATTTGCTAATAAGCTGCTTTAAAAAGTAATGTTACTGTTTGCTTTTTGGATGTGTTCACCTTTTTAAAAAACACTCAACAAACTTGCATGTATCTGCCAAGTTACTTGCTGGGCTTTGTTGAGTATGCGATTATTCTGGGTATGCGATTGCTATGCCAGCTCTTCCAGCAAAGTTAACAGTTACTGAGGCATGTGGCAAAACATCAGAATGGTGAAAAACCTGCACACAAACTAATCTTGAAAGTAGATAGAATAGGTGAGCTAGTATTTAACTGCACCGGAAGTGATGAGATTTCCTGTTAAATCTCTTGAAATAAAACATACCTCTTAACGTGATGCACTTTTGAAGCTTGTACACGTTCTGTTTTAGGAAACGGTTCCAGCTAATGAAATTACTACATACTGCACTCTCATTTTTGTCTGTTTCTGGCAGGATCTTGTAAGCCCTGTGAAGCTGCCCTACTGCTAGTATAGCAGTACGAATTAGTGTGGAGACACAGGAATAGCCACTCTCGTAGACATCTGTCTGTTTTCAACAGACTGAATCCTGTTTTATTTAAAATTGGCAAGTATTTGCCTTCTGTAAACAAATGAGTCATGTATAGAGCTGCCGCAGCACAGAGAAGTGCTTTGTTATTGGATAGTTTGAGTAGGTTTACAGGGCCTGTGGTTCTTCAGTCACTTATCCCAAGAAATTGACAGTCAAAAAAAAAAAAAGTGAACACAAAATCCACCTTGATGTATGTCTTTCTCTGTTGGCTGTTGTATTTTACAGGTCCAGGCAGTATATGGTTTTTTTATGAAAGTTTTCACTTGCTACTAAAATTAGGAATTATTTGAATTATGGCTTTTCAACTTTCTTCCAGACCAGTCAGAGTTCTTAACCTAAATATTTAACAACTCTGTTGAAATCTTTTTATATGCCTCTTCAGGCATAAGCAGGAAACAATACAGCAATCAGTAAATGGAATTTGACAGAGTGGGTTATTATACTTTTGTGATGACATCTAATCTTTTTAATAGCTTGGCAATACTGTGACCCTTTCACTTGATTTTAGAAATCCTCTGTAGTCCTCGTGACTAATGCAATGTTAACATGTATTGAGCCAATGAGACTCTTAACTTCTTCTACGAAGTCAGCTAAATAGATGGGGAAGAGCCTTAGAAAGGTTGGCTCCCAGCTTTGAAGAAGGCAGGAAAACATGGTAATACAAAACCTTGCTACGATAAGTTCCTATGCTCCTGGAGAAATGTTGAAATTGAGGTATTCGCTATTGAAATATGATACATCAACGAAGAAATAAGTGTAGATGCTCTGTCATGAGATCTTGCATAGGGTGGCGACATAGCCTGCTCGTGCCAGGGACAGAAGATTGTGTTTCAGAAAAGGGTCCTTTATACATGTGGCTGCTGTTCATAGTTCAGATGTTGCTTAATGTCTTTACAGGATGCTTAACAGTATGCTTGTGCTTGGACTGTAATAGCTTTAACAGAAAGGTGTACCTGTGTGTACTCAGTACAGACTTGGATAAAATGGTGTAACATTAGACCTCTAGTGGGGTGAGGAACCTTACCAGTTAAACAAAATCAGTTGAGCATCATCTTATCAATTAAACATCTTCTCAAACTTAATTGGATCCAACTCTTGCTTTCAGGAGTAATTGATGTTTTGCCATAGCAAACGCAGTTTTGCTTTATCAAATCCTGCTAATGGGGGCTTTGAGTTTTTAATGTCTAATGCAGAAGCAGCTGAAGATGGGAAACAGTCATTCAAAGAGGCTACCAAAGAGAGACTTGTGAGCTTGAAGAAGCTGCTAGTACATACAATATAAATTAATCCATGTATACTACCATATTGGAGGGTGGCGGGGGAGATCTTAACTTTATGAATAGCTTGTACTGTGTTTGTATTTGGCTAGGTTCTTTAAGTGTTACTTTGAGAAGTATTTACTGTTAAACCATAATGGTGAAGTAAAACCTGAGCTTTTAACACTATCTAATGTGAACGTGAAAGGGGGGGGAAGACTAAAATGTACGCAGGTTTTTTTTTTGTGTTTAATGAAAAGGAAAATACTTTATGGTGTGTGGGAACAGAGTAGCATGGATGAGATTCCAGTGATTGATATAAAAATGTATTCAGTGTAAGTTGCTGGGAGGTATCTTTTGGTATTCCAAAATAATAATTTTTAAAAGTGATGTATTCATCAATTTCAGCACACTTTTGTTCAAAATCTAAAGAGTAGCGATGCAACATTCTTAAACACTGATATTAATGCTGCTGTTTATCTTTCTTACCGT